GTAGTAGTAGTAGTAGTAATCGCAGTAGTAGTAGTCGTAAGTCCAAGAACGACCAAGGGCCTTCATGGCACAGATTTTCTATGCTCTACCCCACACGCGCATGCGTGCGCGCGCGGGGTGAGGGCTTCCGTGGCCAGCTACATGTGTTTCAATTCAGTGTCGAAGTTGCCAGGTGTAGACTAACTCGTCCTGTATGTGCAGAGCATGTGAAGACCTGATGGGGCCTAAACATACCAAGACGGAATTGACGAATAGGATTGTTGGGGGGGGGGGTGATTCTGGAGATAAATCTGAGAGGCTCCCAGTTCTCCCAAACCTGAACCCTTCAAAGCCTTAAAGCAAGAGAACATGCCAACCAAACGGCCAGGTAAGTTCGACTGCCACAAACAGTTCTCACCCAAATCCAAACCCCTCCAATCCGAAACCTAGCAACTTCGTAACAAGGAATGTCAGGGAAAAAGGAAACCCTCAGATTATAAAGCCTAAGGACCCGTATCCTGGTGCTAAGGTATTGGGACAACCTTCATCATGTCCCTAACTTCAGGACCTCACAACGGCCCCCTTTGTCTTGCTGGGCAACGCGCATGCAGAAATCTCGGACATCACTCTTCCCCAGAACTCGGCTGAGGTCTGGGCCCACAAAGGCCTGCAAGGTTTCGATTGTCAGGGGCTCTGCGCATCAAGGATTTGAGTTGTTTGGGATTTCAATGCTTCTCGGCAGGCTGAAAGTTTAGGGGCAGAGCTTTCAAACCCCGAGTTCGAAACATGTGGGTAGTTGTCAAAATTAGGGTCCCTTTTTGGGGTACCCTAAATAATAGGTGCCGTATTATAATAAGGACCCAAAACGGGACCATAATTTCGACGACCACCCATGTGGCACTCCTAATCGCCCCTCCCTTCGCTGGACGAAGAGGCCTACCGTATACCGCCACAGCGCAGTTACCGTTTAGGGGTTTGGGGGTTTAGGGTTTAGGGTTCAATCCGAGGCATGTCTGCTCTGTGCGATGCTCTTGACCACGCTGATGACTGATTCACTGTCTCGTATGTTCAACTAATGTGGAGGAATAATTAATAATTAGAATAGGGTTATGGGGCCCATTATACTATAACTATCATAAGGAACCCTCGGAAATAGTATAGGAAATTATTAAGGCCCCTATATTACTCGCATCAGTCAAGGCCCCTCTCCTTTTGACGAGCTGCGCGGCTTGCCACGTTGTTGCTTTCTGTTCGTGTGCTCTCTCTTTCGGGCCATACAAATTTGGGGGTTTCCGAAAATAGGGGACCCTAATTTAGTACCCTAAATAATAGGATTCCTATTATAAGGAGCCCAAAATAAGGTACCCCTAATTTTCTGAAACTCCCATTTGGACCTCGACCCTAAATCCTGGGATCCTCGACTGGTCCTAGCGATCAAGATTGAACCACGAAAACTCTAGTTCCCTAGGAAAATGTCGGAAAACTCTAACCACCCTGAAGCCCCAACACCAAAATCTAGAGAACAAAGTACCCAACAAGCAAGCAAAGCCCTGCAGAAGTCACCCGCACTGTCCCTGCAAGCTTCAGGACTCCGTGTGTCCCTTACTTGGAGAAGGGGCCTTCACAATACGAACAGTGTTATATGGAAAACGCAAAACGTGAACATACTGTAGAACCTTAATCAAGGTTCTGAAAATATACATGTTTATTCCGGCCATACAACGACCCTGAAGCGTAAACCGTCAACTCTGAAGAACCGGACCTCCTTCGGTCGGGAGACCTCTCTCTTGGCCCAGGACCTTCTTGAAAAGGACGCTCCTCAGTTGGCGAGAGGAGGGTAGAGGGTCTGAGGGTTTACGGCTTTGAAGTAACCAGGGAGAAAAAAGTATAGACTTTTCTTTCATAATGGTTCCTTTAAGGAACAGGTCCACAAAAAAGTATTAAAGTATGGTACTCCAAGGCCCAGTTTAGGGGTTTAGGGTTTGAGGGCTCTTGAAAACCTAAACCGGTGCAACTAAACAACCTGAACAAGGCTTTCGACTCCTGGGGCTTCGAGAGATTCGGTTTCAGGGCTTGACTTCTACAGAGCCCAAAATGCAGCTCCCTAAACCCTAAACCCTAAACCCTAAACCCTAAACCCTAAACCCTAAACCCTAACCTGAACAGGGCATTCGGCTCCTCGGACTTCGAGAGATTCGGTTTCAAGGTTTTAGGGCCACTGGGACCCCAAACCCCAATCCTTAAACCCTAAACCCTAAACCCCCAAACCCTACACCCCTAAACCCTAAACCCTAAACCCTAAACCCCAAACCCCCAAACCCCCAAACCCTACACCCCTAAACCCTAATCCTTAAACCACGGTGCTTTCGGCGTCGGTTCCTGACGGTTTCTAAGATCCCTAAACCCTAAACCCTAAACCGACGGTTTCTAAGGGGGGTCGGCTCTTGATGTGAAATGATCTGCAGGCCGCCCCCTGCAAGCCCAGACCCTGACTTCTAGACTGTAACGGTTTAGGGTTTAGGGTTTAGGCTTTAGGGTTTAGGGTTTAGGGCTTAGGATTTAGGGTTTAGGGTTTAGGCTTTGCTTAGGGTTTAGGGTTTAGAAATTACGTCCTTGACCTTGAAATTTTAAGTTCTGCCCTCCTAGGCCCAAATCCGCCCACTGCAACATCGACAAGAACTTGCAGGGCCTAGTAGCTGGGTTTAGGGTTTAGGGTTTAGGGCTGATGCGAATCTACCGTAGGGACCGGACTTCAGGCTTACTGTAGGGTTGCCAGACTACCTGTGCATGGACCAACATGGAACCTGAAAGCAAGCGCACTGTAAACTGCTAGTTGCCGTCCTTTCACAACCCATGCCTGCCAGGCAACAGCATCAGCAGACCCACAATGATGAAACAATTAGAAGCACAAGATGCATAACCTAACAAGGACAAACAGATCGACAGAACTTGAAAAACATTCAGTTCAGGAAGAAGGAGCTAACAACAGGAAGGCCCGAAGAAAGAAGAAAAAACAACTAATCAACAGACAACAAGAGGCAAAACTAAGCAGAACACTGCTATTTACAGTGTTTTTGCGTTTGTGAGCCTCTTTGTGCAACAAGCTGGCTTTAGGCTTAGGGGTTAGAGCGAAAACGCACATAACCCGGAACTCGCATTGACCCGCGCTCAACCAGACAGACAGACAGTGCAGAGACCATGCAGTTTGCAACATTTCTCAACTAGAAACAGCTGCCTAAATAATGTAAATATCAATGAATGTGGTTGCAATGCTCGTCGTTGTACTTTGGAGCTTACATAAGTTTGATGCAGGGTCACGGGCCTAGGACTTCGACTTCTGATATCAGGTGCTCTGAAGACTGGAAAGACGGGTGATTCCATCGGCTTCACTCCGCAGTGAGATCAGTGCCGAGTCCGTAGGAATGGTTAGACAGACAGTGGCGTTACAGTTGCAAACGCGCCATCTACTTGGAGATGCCGCAACAAGCCCCAAGCCGTTGCAACAGCAGAAACGCTCGAAGTTACCTATAGTCTCCATTGTAGTTCCTTTTTGGGGATACCTTATAGAATCCTTAATATGTAATTGGTTAAACCAAAAACAAAATACAATGGAGACTACAGGTATGATGCGTTCTGTCGCCAACAAACGAGACAGAGCCGGTCCACTCAAACAGACCTTAGCAGATCCTGCACAGCACTACTGTCGCCACCGGAGTCAGCAGCACCCCAGGTGACAATCGAACCATCGCCAAGAATGGCTGCAAAGGCGCTGGCAGAGGCTTGGATCTGCTGCACGTTTTTCAGCTGACTCTGCACAGCAGTGCTGTCGCCGCCAGAGCCAGCATAACCCCAGGTCACAACCGATCCACAGCCAAGAATGGCAGCAAATGCACCGGTGGCAGAGGCTTGGATGTTCTGGACATTCTTCAACTGACCCTGTACAGCACTACTGTCGCCACCTCGCTGGGCACTACCCCAGGTCACTACGGATCCATCCCGCAGAATAGCAGCAAAAGCAGTGCGACAGGCTTGGATCTGTTTCACATTCTTCAGCTGACTCTGCACAGCACTGCTGTCGCCGCCAGCATCAGCACAGCCCCAGGTCACAACCGATCCGTCCCCAAGAATAGCAGCAAACGCACCGTTTGAAGAAGCTTGGATCTGCTGCACATCCTTCAGCTTATCTTGCACAGCACTGCTGTCGCCACCACTGGCAGCAGCACCCCAGGTCACAACCGAACCATCGCCAAGAATGGCAGCACAAGCACTTGCTGATGCTTGGATATGCTGCACGTTTTTCAGCTGGCTGTGCACAGCACTACAGTCGCTACCACTACCTACAAAACCAGCCATACCCCAGGTCAGCACGGATCCATCGCCAAGAATGGCAGCAAAAGCACTGCCAGAGGCTTGGATATGCTGCACATTCTTCAGCTGACCCTGCAAGGCCTTGCTATTGCAACCATAGGCAGCAGCACCCCACGTCACGACAGATCCATCCTCAGGAAGTGCAGCAAAAGCAGCGCCAGAGACTTGGATCTGCTTCACGTTTTTCAGCCGGCTCTGC